GTAGGGTCTGTATCAGTGAGTAACGAGCACCGGCACCGAAGATCAAAGGCGAGGAACTTATCTTGGGCAGGGGCCTGTGAAAACAGAGGGGTCTTTCCGCATATGATGCTATGCTCAAGATACGGGCTCGCAGACCTATGTCGCGCCCATTCCTCCCTCAGCGATGACGAGCGCTGTATTGCCGGATCTGCTCACAAATGCTTGTGGTACACCACGCAGAACGGATCGAATGACTTGTTTGGCCCAATGGTAGCACCCAGCTGTAAAGTTCAACGTGCGCTGCATAACGATTTATAATGCGCTTAGGAGAAGAAAACTGGCAAGCTACCAATGGAGACTTCTCGCGCAGTTGTAAGAGGCAGCAGGGAACGCAACGCATGGTTGATTGTGACGCAAAGCATTGTGTCTCAGCCGTTGAGCAACATTCGCTTCATTCACTTATCGTATGACCGCAGGGAGCTGGCGCTGTCGCTGGTCCTGCACGAAGGGGATGAATTATATGCCTGCGATCTGCTGTTGCAAGACAGTCGTATGTCTCTCCGAAGGAATCACTGTCGTCGAAAGCGATGACTCTCTATCCTCTGGAGACAACGACACCAGATTTGATAGGGGTAGGAGAATAGCAGAAAGTGACGAGCCTTATGGCAGGTCTGCATGCTCCATGGTCATCTTCTTGGACTGGTCCATGCCGATCGTTGTCTGTCCCGAAAAGCAAAATCTGTCCACCTATCGGATAGACTTCCGGCGTTCTTCTCACTCGTACCCCCCACAGGTGAGGATGCCGATCTCACCATCAAGGTTTCCGACCACTAAGCATATCGCTGCATCCATGTACAACGCATCGTGTGTTCTCGGTCGGTATGTTGGTCGCATGGCTGCCTCCACTTCCCAGAAAGTGGAGTAAGAGCTGGTTCTCGGCTAAGACTGCAATTCAGTCGGCATCGGTGGGTAAGAGGGAAAAAAACGAGGGATCCGGCAATTCCAATTCTCGTCGACTGACACTTCGAACTGGCTAAAGCGAGATACATCGCTTTCATGGCGAAGGTGGTGACGATAGAAGATGCATGCGAGGCTCGTTCAGCTGCACGTCATGTCTCGCAGTGTCTTGGCTAGTGGCCCTGCAAAATAGTCAGCATGTGTCTGATAATGAGGGCTACTCACGGTCTTGTTATCTAGCCTCAGCCTGCACCTACGACGGACGACACTGCCAAGACAGTGAAAGAGTCGTCTTGGGGAGACGAGTCTCAACTTCAACCGACCCAACGCATCTTCCGTCTTTTAGGTCCATGAGGTCGGTTTGGTCTGTCTGTTCTCAAGCCACGATCATGGCTGACGATGAATGGGTGGTGATGGGGCAGAAGCACCGAGCAGGCGTACATATTTCAACACACATCCAGCCGCACGAGACCTGTGGCCGCGATGGCGTGCATGAGTAGTCTTGCTTGAGACACTATCAGAACATCGAACCATTCAGGATAACGGCGACATTTGCATGGGAAGGGCTAGAAAATGGCGGTGTTCGATAACAAGAGGTCTCGCTGGTGATCTCGCTGGACGCACTGTTTGACAAGCACATGACAGCAGTGGAACCAAAATTGATCTCATGAGGATTGTTATCGATGTGACTGACAGGTAGTTGTATAACCCTGGAGTGCTGAATTGGGGCTATCGTATAGACCTGGCCGGTCGTAACATTGGGAGTTTCAGCACTGTCCGACGGTATGCGGCTGACAAAGGACTTACCTGCAGGATGCCTCACTTGCACTCTGGTGGTCAAAGAAGCTAGTCAGAAGTCCCATTGTTAGCTCCACTCGACAAGGCAAATCGATACAGCACTCACCAAAGGATTCTCGCCAGTCAAGGCTCAGGCTCTGGCCCGCAGGCACGAAGACGGGTACAGTGGAGTGAACCGCTAGTGGGTAGAGGGGGCCAGGTGACTCGGTGGCTTCTGTGTGCACCGAGGATGTCAGTCACAGCGAATGCTGAGGGTCAAGGAGAAGGGACTCATGATTCTGTTGCATGGGTATCCGTCAGATACAATGAGGAAGATACTTATTTCGACAGAGAACCGAGGGAGGGAGGCCATATTTATAGGTCTTTTGACTGGTCTTGTTACCGCCTGCTTTGTATTGCCGCGGTGAAGTATTTTCTGTCTGCAGCTTTTTGGGGGCATTGTTTTCGAGGGCATCGAAGTAACCCGTGCAAAGTCAGTCCTGTTGAACCTCGACTTACAGGGCTGACGGGCTCGGCAGAAGTCAACAGGCAAGTGAAAGAACCGTCATGGTCAGGGTGAAATGTAGAATGAAGTTGTTTTTTGAAAATCTTGAACAATAGTAAATTATGGAATTTTTTTTACTCTTTTTTATTTGATTGTTTTTTGTCTGAAGCGCGTTGATCAACGTTCAACCCTGTCTCAACGACCGTACTTTCAACACTTGAAAACGATGGGCAGCGACCATCGCTCGACTGCGACCGTGTGCTCTGTTATCACCATCATCTGAACTTCGGCATTTGCTGTTGATTCGAAATAGAGCCCGACTATCATGCTGTGTGTTGAGTAAGTCGCCTCACTCGTTGATGATCGATTTTCAGGGTCTAAGCCATCGCCCACCCATAATATTTCCACCGAGTGTACTGCAGCCATGCCACATTGACTGTAGTACTATCACTCCTACTTTGACCCGTCCGGGACAAAACACATCGATGATTGACACCATAAGCCGAACTTCGGCCAATGCTAGCCGTCGGTTCCAGAAAGCCTTTTGTGTTGGAATTTCATGTCTACCGATCTAAACGGGTCGAGCGGCCCCAATGACTACATTCATATACCTGATGTTTGTCTATGCTGCCTTTCTGGACTGATATCTCCAGAATATAGAAATGCGGTCATCACACCATCCATTGGTAGAGACATGGCGATCGAAAACCAAAGTCTATTTGAATGTATCAAGGCAAGACAGAATAGACACAAGTGGTGAAAGCCTTAAAGAGTCGCTGTACATCGCTTGCCTCTGATCTAATCCATTGATCCTCGCTCGTCTAACTTGGATTCGGAAAAAAACGAAGGGGACATAGATAAGCTGACGTTCGCGAGGATTGGCTTGGACGACTCACGAGGAAGAGCAAGGCCTAGCGTGCAAAAGAAAATAGAGACTTGGAAAATGCTCGTAATTAGTCCCTGTTGCCTGAAGACCTACAGTATCCCATCTCCAGCCAGGTAAATTTGAAGACCCACTAGACCAGTTTAGGGATCCCTTGTGATCTCTTGCGATCCCAGAATGCTCAATCAAGATCCCAGGATCAATTATGTATTCCCTGGGATCCATATGCGTCATATTTGATAGGCACTTTCACGTGCAGGCTACTGGCCGACGCACTGCCCTATCATGAATCCATTACATGACATGCAATCATTAATAAACTTTTGGGCCATGTGGTGGGTTGTCTGGGCCAACCAACAAATAAATCACGATGATATCCCTGCTCGGCATTACTTGATTCGTCTGGCGCAGTTGCCCACAGAAGATTTAAATACCAGAGTGCCCCGAAGAACTTTGGTCAAACATAATATTCCACTCTGAATATCTCAATCCAGCAGACATTGGCTCCGAGCCATGAACTCACAGAGTGTTCAGGCCAAATATTCTTTCACTTCCTTCCCCAGGTCAGACAGTTGTCGGATCGCGCACAATTACTGGATACGGCAGACCGAAAGGTATTTTCGCTCCACCTATCTTGATACATTATTGGAGAGACTAAACATGACCGTGATCATTTTAGTCCAAGAGATCAGACCTTGACAGACACCCTCCAAGACTTGCGTCGAAAAAATGTCAAACTTTCCCAATTGCTGCAGCGGAAGGAAAAACACCTTCACGCAGCTCAGCAACGCATCGAAGAGCTTAAGCAAGAGGTCAAGAAATCGAGGGACGTTGCCGGACGGATGCAGAATTGGGAAGGTCGCTTAGCAGCATGTGAGCAACATGGCGAGAATTCTCGAAACATGGTATCCGACCGACGCCGCGTTCAAACCCGGATCTCCAAGCCGAAGATGCAAAAGACGTTTCTTGGCTTAGGTGGTCGGATCGGCCAACGCATTGGAAGGCAAGGTCACCCCCAAATCGGCAATCCACGAAACAGGCACGGCAATGATCGGTGCAGAAAAAGCCACGGACGAAGGCCCGGCTCTTCGGCTGCTGGGACGGAGCTATGTGCTCGCTTGGAGAAAATCGCTCTCTCGCGTTCTGGAGAGAACTAATGGACGATTGGCGGTGGAGCCTATTAGTTTCAATGAAGAAACTCCTGTCGTGATTGGTACGTATTCATCATCTGCGTGAATATGGTGTGCTTGGCCCGATCCGTATGGGAAACCTGATCATGTCACATCCTATCGTATACTTGCTAGCCCTCGGCTTGAGAACCAACACCATCAATTCATCCAGATGCAAAAAAGCCATATTAAGAAGTGGGTCAAATGAAGCAGCTGCAGATCAGATACGAGAGCAAGCTGCTCCGCAGCGGAAAAGATCAAGATGACGACTTGATGTACCGACTAGTACAGAGAGGTTAAGACGAGAAGATATATTGATCGGAGACGAGGGTTGAACTGAACCTCACCAAGACTCACAAAACTTGCAAGTAGATAGGCCTTCCATTTCCTTGACACACGCACACGTATCTTCTCCCCACGCGGTAAATCGAGATTTGTACGCCGCGAAGCTGAACTAATATTCGACACATACGGTGGAAACACTTCAAGACGAATATCATGGCAAAATACCGATAAAAACAGAATACGTACACTGGCCTTGAAGAGAAAATGAAAAAGACGACAGTAGAAAATGTTGTTCGCGAAAACGAGGGTCAAACTGCCAACTGAGGAGAAGGGAGGGAAAAGCACATATACCGATATCCTCCTCACACGACAAGTAATTCGAAATCAAGATATCAGAAGAGCAACATGCGCGTAGCCAAGCCATGGCTGTTGATTTCCTTGATATCTAACAATCCATCGTGGAATCCGGAATTTTCGACGAAGCCGCAGAGATAGGCGAGGCCACTCCCGCCGCATTGACTGATACACGATGAGACGTAGCGTCAGATGAAGTTGGTGTAGATCTCATGCTTGACGTCGACGTCTTTACACTGCTACCAATGGTACAGACTTTACCCTTTTCAAGAGGTTCATCAATACTGCAGCTCGCCTCGTCCCCTTGGTCGTTGTGAAAGTGAAGCAAGCCGCTTCGATGCACTTCAACCCACGCAATGTGGTGGTGTGAATTGCAAAGGTTGACTTTCACTGCATTGGGCTCGGATCCTGTGCCTTGATACCCTGTAGTCAAATCTCGAAGCCGTTAGCAATGATCTTTATTGAGAGTGAGTTGCTTACTAGAGCAGGAGTCGCCTTCAAGAGGTGCAAATGGATGTGAGTAGCCGGTGCAATTGAAATTGTCCGTGGAATACACCAAGCACTGGTCTTCATAGTCGATGATCTGAAGGGTCCCTCCAAAGGCGATGGAGATGAGTGTGAAAAGAACCAATGAAATATTCATCTTCATGCTGATATTACTGTATAGATTGATTTTCAGAATTTCAGAATTCACTTAAAGAATACCGCTACCACAGTGAGAAGAGGCGCACGCTTGAATTTATAGTCTCATCCAAAAATCTAGACTTTGGTAAAATAATGCATTCGGTGCGACCTGAAGAAAACTGATCTGGCTTTGAAATCACATTAGCATTGGAGGTGGAATTAGGGCGAAGCTGTAGAATCTTGATGCCCTGGCAGAAGTTGCAATGTGTTGATAGTTGCTATGAAACTCGTTCTCTCAAAAGCGTACTGTATTTTTTTGCGGTATAACACATGTCAGCTCTAAAAGTGAATGAAGAATGAAGAACGTCTCAGCTTGGGTAGTGCATCTCATGGTAATGGATTGTCGATCATCAGAAGCTGAAGCCATGGCTGGCTCATTTTCTGGATCCGTTAATTCGTGTTGACTGATGTACATGCGAACAAACAATTAGGCTCATGACCCATCAGAAATGCGTGGAAGTGGGCAATATCTTTCATACGTAGAAAAAGCTGTTAGGCTCCAGGATATCTGTCCACATAATATAGGAGTAGCTACACGTGAAGAGAAGTTGACGAGCTGCCATGAGATATTCAACACCTTCCGAATTCTAAACACACTTTAGCACAGCTGATTTTCGCAAATTGATCTAGTTGGCTACAGTATACGAGAATAGACTAAATTTAAGGTGCTGCCGACTCTGTCCAGGAATTCACTACCTCCCAGTCTATAGGAAGTAGAAGTAGCAGTATGCGCTCAATATGTCCAACAAATTACCGTATCGGTTCTTAGTCACGGAACACCTTTTTGAAAAGAGATTGTCAATTTTTAATTCAACACATCAAGGCTATTCCCCTCACCCGTCAAACGGATACCGTAAGTTTTTTGGTATCATAAAAGACAGGTGAATACCAACTCATAATCCTGATTTCAAAGCTCCCATTAACTGATTCCGTAAATGTTGTACTGTAATAGTGCATGGTTGGAACTAACCATGAAGAAGTTCTTGATTGGGGATGGTCCACCCCTGCTTATCAAAATGATCTCAATTGGAAATGCGCAGTTGAAGCTGAGAGTCTGATAGCAACTCATGAATTGAAGTTGAGATCGATGAACTAAGAACCAATGAGCAGCTGGAGAGTTTAAAGAAGATCAAGAGGGCCTTACGAGACAAGTATTGACCGAGGAATCATATTAACATTGAGGACGAAGGCTACATGATGATATGAATGTAGAGTATCTATGAGTTGTTGATATTTGTTGAGCAACACACGATCGGTAGTATAATAGATGAGGAGTCACACATGAAATATGATGTTGACTTGTTTCAAGTCTTGAGAGGCCCAGTAAATTAAAGATCGTTGCTGCTGGTGAAGCACTTAGTACAGGAACCTTCAAAGTCTGGAATTTAAGTAGCGCGTACCACTTTTTCTGAAGTATCGTCTCTTCTCAAAAGCTTTGCTTGCACCCATTCTCCTTTGTCTAACGGCAAGAAACCCCTCATATTGAAGATGGATCTAGCGCGACTGCTTCAGCGCACTTCCGGAAACAAAACACCCGAAGCTGATCTACAGCTGTTGTGCACGGTCATAGCTGTCAGCTACTTGCTATATTGCGCGTTGAAGAGCCGACGTAGATTTGCCGTGAGTCGAATTCCCAGTCATCCGCGCTTTCTACGTAGCTGACACTATTAGCATGACAAAGATGTTGGTATCAAACACGGTTGTTTGCCAATGGAGACATGGCTACCAGCCAAATGGCCATGGGCCCTCGACATCCTCAAACGACAATATGACGCGCTCCCGGACCAGCGTATACTCATGTTTCAATCGCAGTACTTTGACAGAATCGGACCTAACATGACGTTCAAATTGTTTGGGAAACAAGGCTATCTCACTGCCGACCCCAAAAATGTGGAGTCTATACTATCGACAAAATTTGAAGGTAAATGACTACCTGACCCTCAAATTGCCAGGTCTCAATTCTCACCATGTATAGACTGGTGTCTTGGCTCCAGGCGAGCTGGACTGATGCCTCTACTGGGTGAAGGTATTTTTACACAAGATGGAATGCCATGGAAGCACTCAAGAGAGTTGCTTCGTCGTCAATTTGCTCGAATTCATCGCCAAGATTGCAAAGTGTTTGATGCACATGTCGAGGATCTGATTTCCAGACTGCGCGCCACTGGAGGTGTGATAGACCTGCAGCCTCACTTTTTTCGATTCACTCTAGCCACAACAACAGCGCTCCTGTTCGGGGAGTCTGTCTCTGCCTTGCCTGGAGAAGAGACAGATTCGTTTGAAAATGCATTTGACTATGCCAGCTCGGTCAGCGCACTCCGACTTCGTCTGGCAGATTTGCAATGGATATGGAAGCCGACTAAGTTCCGCGTAGCTTGTGCTGTTGTCAAGCAATATGCGACTCGTTTTGTACAGCTTGCCCTGGATGAAATGGTAAAAAATGGCGAGGAGACGGCATCAAGGAAGTATCCATTCATCATCGAGCTGTACAAGAATTTGCAGGATGACTTGTTGGTGAGGGATCAACTGGTCAATGTTCTAATCGCAGGTCGGGATACGACAGCATGTCTCATGTCATGGGCGTTCTTCCTTCTCGTGCGACACCCCAGATCCCTGGCTCAACTTCGTTCTGAGATCGATCAGGCTACAGAAGGCTCGCCAGAATTGACTCGGGCAAAGATCAAGAAGATGAAGTATCTCCGATGTGTGCTGAACGAAAGTAAGTCTACAAGCAAGCCAGCCTTTGTATTGTGATTCCTGCTCATTTTCGGTCTCCATGAAGCTCAAAGACTATACCCGCAACTTCCAATGAACGTTCGAGTAGCCGCTAAAACGACAGTGATCCTCCGTGGCGGAGGTCCAGATGGCAGATCCCCGGTCCTTATTCCCAAAGGTACCGGGGTTGGCTATTCGGTCTATCACATCCACCGGCTCCGAAGCCTGTATGGCGAAGACGCAAATGAGTTTCGTCCCGAAAGATGGTTGGATCACGAGCTAGAAGACATTGGCTGGGGATTTATGCCTTTTCATGGTGGGCCGCGGATATGTCTAGGCAGTAAGTATCCTTCCTTGTAGCACAATGATTGAGGCGCTGACTTCAGCTGCAGAGGATTTGGCGCTGGGAGAAGCTTCGTGTGCGATAATACGAATCCTTCAGGCATTTCCAGAGCTTAGAATACCGCCTGGAACCTCTACTGTTCCACCTGGAGAGGAAAAGCAAACGTTGACAATTGTGGTGATGAGTGCAGAGGGGTGCAGGGTGCGTTTAGATTGAGAGGATTGTACAGCGCATATCCAAAGACAAATCATCCGTTTCTCTGGTAGCCGGGCAAGATTCTTGTATTTTGTCTAATCACGACGGTTACAATCATGGGCGAGCCAGTCTGGGTTGATTGATAAGGGCTCTGTCGGAATAGAGATCAAGTGGGGATTGCATACCTCTCTTCTTGATATAAAGTGAAGCGAATAGAATCTAGGAGGTTTCGCAACGAGATATAATTTATACTACAACGTCAAGTCGAGCTGCATGACCGTTCATTTGGCTTCGGTCAACTTTTGAGAAAACACACCCAATGTGAATAAAGTACATTGTCTGTCACAGTGCGCAATGATGAAAGAATCTACAATTCTAGAACACTGAAATACTTTCCGGGAGCAATGAGTCTCCACGGCTTTTAAAGAGACCCCATCGCGGCCGTGCTAGTACAGCAACACGTTAGCCTGAACTGAAAATCAGCCTGTTACATTCTTGGAGTAAACTCTGACAAACGTGCACGGAAATTTTAAGCAGCTTTTCGCAATCCTTTAAAGAAAGTGAATTCAGAAAGTCTCTGTAATCCTTTGTCTCGATCTCAAGATGCCTAAAAGGTGTGAATATAGTATACTTTCATGCCAACACATAAGATACACTCAGGGCTCTGGGAGCGCAGTCGCAGGATCATTGGTTGAGGGACTAGTCATCTCATTACCCCCCCCCCGCACGAGCCAGAGGCATATACCGAAAGTTTTCCTTCCAAATGGTATTCGAGGACGATCAAATGGTATACAAGCATGCAAGAGACCCTCTGTTTGATTGTGATATGAGCCCGGTTGCTTTGGAAAACGCCAAATTTTATTGCGTGGGAGATTATCGGTAGTCTGCTGCTTTGAAATGAGGCCAGATGACTCACCCAAAGTGGATATCTCGCAGACCAAGGATTCCGCTACGAGGGAGTGCAGCAGGAAAAGGGGTTTAATTTATTTGTTTGAATACGAAGTTCATTCATGATCTGTTTACTATACTCATGGTGAGATTCACCTGACCGTCTGAGACGACCCAATTCTACGCAATGGTACTGCCAACATCGATAGCACTCAATATAAAGATTAAAGTCAGGCGTCAGCGATGGAGTCAAGATTACAATTGTGTCTGCTCAAATACACTTTTTGCGTACTGTCTGGCACGCAGCGAGATGTACATTCAGCGTCAATGCGATGTTTAAAGCCACCGTACGCTGTAGTAAAGCTCTCATGCTTACTCAGCCGTGCGTTCTCAATCTGCTGATGGTATTGGCCTTCAAGTACCTTGGCGTATGTTTTGCGTCGAACGCCAGTGTGACTGCATTATCCTCGTCGTGCATCATTCATCCAAAAGGTGGCGGGCCTTCCCCGCTGAGAACTTCGGAGGTGAGCCAGGAATCCCAGTCAACGACGTCTTCTTTCTCAGACTGCAGACAGTCGGATTTGCAAATCGCATGCGTCTTTACTGGAGCTTCTGGGGGGACATTCACGTTCTGTGTAGCAAACAAATGTTTGAACGAAGCAGCTGCAAGACTTTTGTCAGTAGGGCTGGCAATCTGCTTCCACCGATAGACTTACCTGGCAGTTTGCTTTGGTCCATTTCTGGCACATCCGACAATCCTTGAACGGGCATGAGGGTTTTGCGGATTGAGAGAGAAGAGACTGGGAAATCTTGCTCGAGCATTTGTCGAGATAAAAAGGATGGACTTGGGAGTGCAGGTAAAGTCTAAATGAGGCGACATTCGGTTAACTGGTCATCAGACATTTACCATTCAATCTAGCGCACTTGTGGTTCAGACCTTATAGGCTGGGCTACCAGTCTTCCGATTTTCGAATGCATGTCCATTGAGTAAGCGGTTTCTTCAACTCTGATCGATATTCAACTGATTTAGAGAGATCTTTGATTACGATCGCAGAGGCCACTGAATAGAGTATCACCAGTCGGACCATGTTCAGCGCAGCGCTGCACCTAGCACGAAAAATCCCGAGTCGTATCTCATTTGAGTACACTTCGCGCCGAATGACGCTTCCGCTTCCTCAATCGACCGTGCTTGCGCAGCAGATTGACTACTCTCGAATGCTGCCCAAGTTATATTCAGCAAACACCGGTCTACACAGTGGAGCCCACAGAGCTTAGGAAGCTAGGTAAGGTCTACTCCAGAGGTTCCGTGTATTCTCTCGTCAGACGATATTTTGAAGTCCGTATGTAACGACCACATTTCGACAGTTTCAATTGGAAATAAGTCTGCCGTCCAACTTCCTTCCGCGAAGCCCCATTTCCAGGGCGGTCAAGCTCTCTCATCATACAGACCACGGAAGCAATCAGCCAGCTGTCGGAGATTGGGGTCAAGGTCAGTCTCAAGCTCCCGACTGATGAAGACAGGGATATCACCACACGAGCACATACCCTCGCACGCAAAGCAACAGAAGTGAACAGCGAAGTCAATCCCCCACCATGGGCGCAAGTCCAGCTCCGCGCGTCGGCATTGCGATGGGCTCGGGTGAATACTAATCAGCAACGGAAGGGCAACTTCCAGCTGCCCACCACTGGTCGGTTTACACGCCAGCTGGATTCAGCTCTCCCGGGACCCCACACGAAGACGCTGTATTATAGCCTGGTTCGGGAGAATGCATCGATACTAGCTCAACTCCGCACGGGACATGCCAGACTGAATGGATATCTTCACCGAATCGGCAAGACCGATAATGATATATGCGAATGTGGCGCCGAGCGTGAAACAGTCCCACATTTCTTGCTTCGATGCACACGGTGGAATGAACAGCGTTGCGTACTGACTGAAGCCGCGGGTCCGAGCCTCGGCAGTCTGTCGCAGATGCAAGGAGGTAAATGAGAGCGCAGGGGATGCGAGTGAACCGGGTGGTAGAGCATGGAAACCCGACGTCAAGATTGTCAGAGCCGTCATCGCGTTTGCATCGAAGACGGGACGACTGGCCCCGGAAGTATGGAGAGGAGCAAGGTCTGAATCGAATTCAGTATATAATTTATGCTATCATATGTACATAATCAACGGTGCAGCGCACACTAGCTAGGAGGCTACATACGATCCAAGGTCGTGAAAAGCCTGAGGGATTAAAGAAAAAATATAGAAAAACGAAAAAAAAAGAGGAAAAAAGAAAAGCCAGACTGTTACGCTTGCGAGATTCTCCTATTGGTTGCCTAGAAAACGATCCAAGTCACGGCCCAAGAGGAGCACCCGGCACCGAGGCATATAACCTAATTAAGTACATGGTGGAGCTCATCGAGCTGAGTAAGCTAGGCAAGGTCGATGTTCTCAAGGGATACGATATTTTGAGACTGGCCCCGTTTCATTGGTCAGATACCCAGTACCTGTCAATACCTCAAATTCCTAAAACCGACTGTGTGTACCAAATGGAGGTTGAAAGTCTCGGGGTTTCCGTTTCCCCGCACCGCCTGGCGGTAAGGAACATCAACAAAATGCGGACTTGCTGTCTCTGTGTTCCTCTATTTCGTTCACTTCAGCACCTTGATCAGATTATTCGTTTATTGCCTTTACAGAGCTCTTCGGTAGGACACATTAATACAACAAGTTCTCCACAATGCCTCATTGGTCATGCGAATGGGAGAGCTGTAGGAAACCAGCCGCGCAGAGAGCAGGAGATTGCTTGTTGTGCGATAGACACTTCTGTCGCACCCATCGCCGAGAGCCGTGGCACAAATGCCCAAAACCAGAGGTCTGTGATACACTTGCTCAAACATTAGCCATAACAAAATGCTCATGCTCATCTAATAGGAAAACTGGGAATCCTACTCTGCTCAATATGCAGCTACAGAAGCTCGCCACATAGACGAGCTATGCCTTCGAATAGATTGTGCTAAGTTATGTTCCCGTGCATCGATGCTCAGGGAAGGCATCTCATGTACTGTTGACTTGTCTCGCAAGAGCTTGTCTGCCATGATGGGAAACCAAAACTGCCACGCCGAGATTACCTTCGATGATAAAGTCAAGTGGCTCGCACGTTTTCGCCTCGCCAGAACTTCATCACCACCACGGGAAGTCCGTGATTGGATACTTCGAAGCGAAGCTGCCACCATGACGTACCTTCAGCAGTACACTTGCATTCCCACGCCCAAAATTTTTGACTGGGCATGCGAATCTGATCCAGAAAATCCTCTTGGGATTGACTACATTCTGATGGAAAAGCTGGAAGGCAAGCCTCTGAATTGGCAGACGACGACTCCTCACCAGAAAGAGAAGGTCATGCAGCAGTTAGTTGATATTTCTCTTGAGATTGATAGGAATCCTTTCAAAGCAATGGGATCACTTGTTTCCTCGACGGGACATGGTATTAGCCTTCAAGGTCTCGCACACCAATCGACATTCAGGGTAGGAAAGGGGCCACTCGGTCCATTCTCTTCCTCGCTTGAGGGCTCTCAGGCTATCCTCGAGTCCTACCTCACAATGATAGCTAGCGGCGAGATTGACCCTTGCTATCCGGTAGACACCTACCTGGTTCATCGATTTCGCCAGGACGTTGTTAACGCTCTTTTCAAAGACGTACCATTAGGCGACCAATTTTTTCTCAAGCACCCGGACGATAAGGGTGACCATATTTTGGTCAATGACTGTTTCGATATCGTGGGTATCATAGATTGGGAATGGACGCAAACTGTCTCCAAGGCGGAGGCATTCTGTTCCCCGTGTATGATGTGGCCGGTAGCTGAGTTCTACAATGGCTTTAATGAGCTAGCCGCGGATGAATTGCGGCTGGCTGCCATTTTTCGCGAAAGGGGCCGCGAAGATCTTGCCGTATGTGTCGACGAGGGCAGAAGGGTTCAAAGATTTTTCTTTGCTCTTGGGCCTGAAAGCTCTTTTTTAGATATGCAGGCACTTCCACATATTTTCGCAGGACTCCAGCGGGCCTTCAACTTTGAAGACGAGGAATGGGATGAATGGAAGATCAAGGCTCTCAAGAGATGGAAAGATGATGACTTACTCCTTGGCTTGTTGGAACTAGAATAAATCGAGAGGGCAGGCCGAGGTCAGAAGGCTTTACACAGAATAGAGATTGCAATCGCAATCCCAAACAGTAACGGAATAAAAATCTCTTACCTAAAGATTTATTTTCATAGCGGTCAATCTGTCTTCACAAGATGTCTATGAATATACAATTTTCCCTGTGCCTTATGTAGTGAGCTGCATTGTGATATTATATTATTGTTTGTAACGCTAGTTCAGTAGCGTAAGCATAATCGCCAGATAGGTTGATGAAGCAATGGGATCGTGGTGAGAAGGCAACAATGATGGGTTTTTAACGACTTTACTGTTTTCACCTTATTATTGCAGGTTTCAATCTAATGCATACTATCCAAGGATGCCTGATGCACCATTCATTAGCCACAATATTACCAATAGAACCCATGGGCGATAAGAAAGCTGTACAACAATATCAAATTGAATGACACGTAAGCTACATAGCCCGCTAGTGTATTTGTTGTCTACCTTAGCTGCAATCGTCTAAATACATGATTTCATTGGCCATTATCTTGTCTCTTAGCTGCTTGTTTTCCCGCCTTCAGGTTGAATCGAGTGAAGGCTGAATCGAGTGAGGGCTTCAGACAGCTTTACACTTCTCACTGTCACTTGCAACATCGGGAACCTGAATCCGGGCTCGGTTGATGTCGAGTTCCATAGCAGGTCTTTGCTGGGATCCGGGGGGTTTATCTTTACTTGTGTTAGGAGGAAGTTGAACACTCGCGGGCAGAAATGAAACTCACGACTGCTACAGTAGCGGCTACCACTCAAAGCCCATTGGGAACATCCGGCCTGTGCGCATTTTTCGGCCATTTTGCTTACCAGGTAGAAGTTGATCTTTGTAATTGGTTTCTAGAGCACGCTGGAAGGAAGGAAGAGGTTGGAGAAGATGCAATAAAAGAAAAAGAGTTGGCGGAAAAGCCAGGCCTTATATGATTAAGCCGCGTGGTCATGTTTTCTTATTTGTCTCCGCATTGAACTGGGTATTGGATCTTCTTCTCAATCGCTCCGGTCCATGTCATCCACTCGTGCCCTGTTGCATAAGCCAGCTCGCATCTTGAAACCAGTGGCGTTTCCGAAAGATCCATGGAATATGGACACGAAGGATTTCATCCCAGAAGAGACCAGGAACGTGCGGTGCGAAGTAGTGTAACGATTGGAGTCCGCATGAGTCTGTGCCTTTGGCTGCAACGAGCCCAAGTCATTTGTAGCCAATCAAACCGGAGCACGGGCCTTTCCCCGCTTTAGTGCTTCCTCGGCTTTGGCTTCGGAGGCGTGAGACCGTCTAAAAGAATGGACGTATCATAAAAGAGTCCAACCAGTAGCTCTCGAGACAGCCTTGAAGGAGAAGCAGAATGTTGCAGACGACAAAAGAAGTGGGCGAGCACGTCGATCAATAATGCCAGCTAGGATGCCATCAACTTGGAGTGGGATTTGAAACCCCGGTCGATTGATAACACTACGTATTACACCACTGTGCTTCATCACCAAATCAAAGCAGACTCTGATCTGGCTCACAATATTATGGCTAAGAGACGAAAGGTATCTCTTGCAGCCTTCCTCTCTGGGTTGCATATCAGCCTGAGTAATTATCTCTCGCTCAATTGATTGATGAGCCACAGCGTGCTTTTCATGGCTGCAAATCCTGAGGTAGAAACAAAAATGTTAATCAAATAAATAATAACTGATAATCAGTGACCTTGAGAACACAATCTCAAAGGCTACAGTACGTGATAGCTAAACATAGATTAATTCTAAAGCGTGACCCGTCACATGCGCAAGGCCGTGTATGTCCGCAGGGGTCCGCAGTAGTTGCCAGGCAGGGGTGTGTCAGGCTAGGCAATTAGGTTGCCCCTATATGACCTTGCTTGGCCAGATCAATGCTACCTTAGACCGCCAGTGAGGGTGGGCGATTTGGCCAATGAGATTGAGGGGACGTAATAAATCCGCGTACTTTTGCGGATAGATACGGACTATTGTGTATCAAGGGAGAAAATGGTATCTGTAGCGCAGGCGGCATAACCAGATGGACGGAAACTTGATTGAACAGTGCAAGAATTTCAGCCGCGAAAATCATTGCCCCGAGGTAGTTGTTCCTTCCTTGTGTTGCCCTGTAAGTAATGAACAAGATGTGATCGATCCAGTGGCAGATGGTGCAGATTGCAGCCCTGTTATTTGTACCACACCGGATGATTTCAAGTCTTTTGAGAAATGGGCTTCAAAGCCCCAGATCAAAACAATTTTGGAAACGTATGAGCCACAGCCTCCCCTTCCATTTTCTCTTCAGAAACATCTGACACGAGTATAGCTGGGACAAAGAAACTTGTAAATACAAGATCGCCGAATCGGTGGAGACCAGCAGTGGTCTGGAGGACTATGCCGAATATGCATTTGTTGTCCGTGAACGCGTTGGTGCGCTATACTTTCTCCTGGCAGACTAAGAACATACTAATGTTACTGACAGACCGAAACTCGGAGGAAGTGACGCCGTACATAGACATCAAATCGGAAGACCTGCGTGACATACTTCGTGAGGTGCTGCACGACGTCAAAGCTATTAGTCTGATGGAGGACAAGCCATCGGTAATAAAGACATAGTTTTACCCGAAGAACATCGCTGACCAATGTAGATCGAGCAAAATATTCTTTTCCATTTCCTCCCTGAGCTCGAAGAATGTGCGGATAACACAGAAACCGGTCCGGACAATGTATCAGCACATGCGCAGCATCTCCGCCTGCTGGTCAATCACCTCGAGCGCGCATACGCTCCTATCTTGCAGCGTCTCGAGTCAATGTGGCAGCACGGACAGATTACGTATGACCTTCTTTGGGCACTTTTCAAGCCTGGTTGCCACATCTATACCACATGCATTGGCACAAACGAGCCACGATGTGTCATATTCGACGCAGGGGAAGAGGTAACACGAAATGACGAGACGTGGTTCAATCTCGAATGCCGATTCATTGACTATGACGGCGTTATATTTGGGGAAGCCGGAATCTTTCTGCGCGTGCCAAAGTTCCGAGGGTCAAAGTATATCGCGACTCTTGAGGCTTATCCTCTCCACCACCATGCGAGCCACGAACAGGTCCAAAAAGACCTAGTCGAGAGAGGCCAAAGGTTTCGGGATTTTGCTGGCTCGCACATTCAGCACTGCAAAGGCAGCGCATTCTTTATGAACAAGGGTAAAGCTATCAAAGTTAACATCAACAGTCGAGTCGCAGTGGACGCCGTATTTTTCCATGAAATGCAGCCAAACTACTCCCGACCGTCACTCCGCGACATTAGAATGAAAGAAAAAGACGGCATTGCCGTCATTGACTTGGGTGCAATGTTCATGGAGGACCGTGAGCGAGAAAAAGAGAGAATGCGAGGAGACGGTGTGGATGCACAAAAGCTGAGCGAGGCCGATTTGTTAATCGCTTGTCCAACAGTTTGTTGTTTCAGTTTCAAGGAGAAAATGTTTTGTATGTGACACGATTATTAATGGTTTGAGGACTGGCTAACTTATTCCAGTGGAGTGCGCAGTTAGTGCTCTCAGGGACGTGAAATGGTCACCTGAATCATTTGACTGTTTGCAAATTCCGCCAGAGAACAAGACACTCCTCTTGTCAATGGCAAAGACTCGCTTGGGTCTGATACCGACATTACCTTTTGACGACGTAATTGACGGAAAAGGTCAAGGGCTCAACATCCTTCTGGAGTATGTCGGCAACTTGTTTATGCACTATCTTGACGCGTCCGTCCTAACATATCCTAGTGGCCCGCCCGGCGTCGGAAAGACATTCACGGTTGAAGCAACCTCGGAATATTTCAAGCTGCCTCTTTACTCGGTACGAGCCAATTATGCGCTGTTTGTGGCATCGCTAACTTCCTCAGATATCCCCGGGCGACCTCGCCGTCGACCACGGAGATTCTAATGCGCTTGAGCAACAACTTGAAACTGTATTCAAAATTGCTAAACACTTCAAAGCCGTGCTCCTCTTGGATGAAGCAGATGCATTCATGGAGCAGCGTACTTCTTACCACGATACTCACAATCGCATGGTGACCGTTTTCCTCCGAAAGCTGGAATATTACCAAGGAATCCTTTTCTTGACTTCAAATCGGGGTATTCAGTTTGATGATGCAATCCTCAGTCGGATCCATTTAATCTTCAAGTATGAAGGCTTAAGCAAGCCATCTCGCAGGGGTCTCTGGTCCACTTTTCTGAGTAGGGCACGTACAGTTCAAGGACCTGCCGTGGTTGAGGAGCACGACCTCCGACGATTGGAGGATTTAGATCCCAATGGACGAGAGGTGGGTTCCAGAGGGCTGCTGTGCACTTCTCACTTGCTGACTGAAATGGACTAGATCAAAAACATTGCAGCAATTGCACATGCTCTTGCCGAGGCGAACGCCAGCCACGTGAGCTATAAATACTTGGAGTTAGCCGCGGAATCGAATCAGAAATTTTCAAAGGAGTTTGGCAGAGAGAGGCCTGCTGATGGAATGTATGTCTAACAGCATACCTGGGAAATTCATGCGGATAATTCGGTTCCGCAAAGTAGTTGGGCGGTTGGGCGCTTATCTCGATATTTTTGGTTAGTACACGACAGTCCATAATATCGATTCTGAGCTTCATAATCAAATCAATGTTTTCACTTCATCCTTGGCATCACATTAAGGTCAAGTCCGAGAGCCAGAATCGGATATCAACGCATATAGAATCGTATACCACCTGAGACTAGTAGATGATGTGGAGCATATGAGCATCGTGAATGCTAATAGGTAGAACTGTTCATCGATCCATGCGGATGCGGCCCAGAGATGCTACATGCTTGTTTATCATGCGTTATTGGATTGCTGGATCAATTCTTTCTTCACACGAGGACGTCCTGAGTCACCTATGCCTGGTTAGCGTAGTCGTTGCCCATGGCTCGCGGCCGCTGAAAAGTTGGTTGACATTTCCATGTGGAGTGATAGTCAATGATTAACGCTCGCAAAAATTTTTACCTTCACAAGACATTGTCACGCCGAAGATCTTCGTGGATGAGCCCCAAAGCACGATTTCCTTCTTCGATTCGTGTATTTCTTGGGGGAATAATAGTTCGCGCTGGAATATCAGGTCGATGGTGGTCCATAATATGAGCACATGCGAAAGAGGCACAGCTTTGGACAGCCTGGCGAACAAAAGAGCCAATGGCTCGGAAGTTCATGGAGGGGCGAGGCTGATGAACACGACTGATCTGTACAGTCCTTTGCAATTCAGTATAAAAATGGCCATTAAAGCTGGCAAATGTGGCTCAAATTTGCCCTGACTCCTGACTTTTTGTTCTTCTGAACATTCGACTTTGGACATCATCACTTCCTTTCCGTTGTTTGCCACCCCTACCTGCAACACTCTTCCCGGGTAAGAGTGATTCCACTCTGCGAAAACATTCGAAAATTTTCTACTCAGCAATATAATGAGGTTTTATTCTTTGAAGCCCAAAGTCGACTTGTCTTCAGCAGAATGCAGGCCATGTCCATTCGTCACGCGATATGGTTGCAACGAAGTGTTCCCCAGGCCTAACGATTTGGAAAGATGCATACTCTCCACTAGGGGTGGCTCTGCCAGGACCAAGAGTCTCTCGATACTGCTGGAGACGGCATAGTTGTTTCAATTGAGATAGCAAGGGATAGCACCTTCCATAGCACCTTCCATAGCACCTTCCATAGCACCTCCCGGCCTTCGGCCCTTCATGCCCCCAGAGCTCGAAAAATGACTGGTGTGACCAAGCCCTGGTGCGTCTCCTCTTCTGAAATTTAGAGTTCCATTGAGCCCTGCCGGCCGACTTAGCCAGCCGGTGGCCGCATTTCATAGCTGCCTCGATGCACCGATAGGTGGCTCAAACTTATACAAGCCGAGCACGCCGACTGCGTGAATCGGCTTCCCACCAAATACTGGCCATTTCGTCTCCCACATTTGGACTGATTCGCTGCGCTTGTTTGCATTGAAGTGGCAGGGCCCACTCAGGTATGGGTCCCTTGGCGGACAAGTCTAAGGGCATGTCCATCGAAGTACTCATTGAAGATGAGTGGATTTGTACGCATTGGGCTCTTTCTGAACTCGCGGGCTTCGTCTCATCTCGATCGTAGGTTTTGTCGAAGTACGGGGACGGGTATCTGCTTGCATGGATATTCATACCATTGCAAAGGCCGAGTGGATGACTAGAAGAACGCAAAGCATAAATCTCGCGGAGAGAACGGCCGACCGATCGGTGTTGATCACTCGGCGAATGGAGTTTTCCTTTTCGCAGAAAAGATAAACTTGTCAATGATGTGTCAAGAATGTCACATGGCGTCAGTGCTCCCTCCCTCGTCGATGGAACAACAGCGTGGTGTCTCCGAGGACATCGAGATTGGGACTGGCGACAAGCTATCCATCTTGGAGATTTGTCTCCAGAGCACAGCCTGCCAAAACGAGGAATAGTTAGCAGTGAGTGCGGCGCGCTCGCTCCGCAGTGCTCGGCAAGGGTGGCCTAGGCTTTCGAGTCTGACGCGACGGCAAAGGCGGTCAGGCTCGTGACGATACCCTGGAATTGGTCCGCACATGAAAGAAGAAGCCTCTCAAAATACGTTAGTAAACATTGGTAAGAGAAGAATTCACCCATGATTCTTCGTCTTCGACCTTGTCCAATCTTTAGCTCGTTCTCACGATGCCCGACAGAATGCTGGGACATACCAGACCTCGCTTTAGCGTGAATTTGGCCCGCTCTCCAACTTTCGACCCAACACATCCTCGTTCTAGTCACCTCATGAACATCGCTTCGGATTGGTTTCCCACGACAAAACGTAAAGCTGTCAATGATCAGAATGGTCATGGGGCTTTCACCGGGCAGACATATCTGATTCCCGACCAACTCCCACAAGACCAACGCCCACAAGCCAACTCCCACAAGCCCAGCTCCAGCTATGGTACTGGTTTGAGCCGGGTAAGCCGTCGCGGTATGTATCTCAAGCCCTTTGTGGGCATGTCGCTCAAAATGCCGTCTCGGTTGAACAACTGGCGTCATGTACGTTCAAATGAAAGGGTATCCGGAAGAAAGGTGCCTGATTTGGCCATGAGCATGAATGATTTGCTTGGAATTTGCTCAGAGGCACGTCCTGTTGGGCACCACATTAGCAAATAGACCAGAGGAGGGACCCATGACTCACATATCCTGGTGGCTGATCGGCGTTTCGACATGCGATCGGGGGTCGGATGGGGGATGCACAATGTTTGTAGCTCACTTGGAGGACTCGAACAAGGTTGGGCTGGCTGTGGCATGGAATATATCGGCAGTCTCAGATCGTTCTGATCTGATAAGGGACATGCTTGCGCAGAAAGACTCGCTCTTGTTCTCAATATTAAAGTAGCAAATTGAATCGACTGAGCTCGGTTCGGCGAGGAGCATGAGTGCTTGCACATGCAGAGCGGGTGCGTTGCCTAGCCTGGGCCAAATGACCTTCAGGCTGACTAGATGACCCGCGTTGAAGGAGCGTGAGCCACAGCTGCATAGGCGCTGGCTGACTCAATTATGGTGGCGTCTTTTCGTGTCAATAACGAAAGGGCTTAGACAAAAATGAACAGACTGATCTTGGGACTGCTGAACCATAAGGGTGACCCTTGGCAAAGTTTGGCAAAGGAGCCAATGCTCGATATTTAGGCTTGAAGGCAGACGATGTGTGTGATGATCCCCGCCTCAGTCTACATGACGAGGGCTGCTCATATTGGGTAGCGGGAAAACGGAGGGCTCCAGTAGTGCGTGGGATATAAATTGGTCGCCATCGATCATCCGGCCATTGATCATCCGGCCACCCATGTGTAGTGTGGGGGCGGTCTTCATAATTGGCCTCTCTGTTGAAAGTATCGCACTGCTTCCCCCAAGTTGTCGGGATTGGCGAGGGACTCCTTAGGTGTCGCCGCTTGACGATGCTGAGGTGGTCGGTATAATGTCAATCCACCGCAGTCGATTTCATGCCGCCGAGCTTGCGCGCCGAGTTCGAGACAACACCCGTCACACAGTACTCTCGACTGGGGAGTTCGTTTTTCTCGCCACAATGGGTTGGCCGCACTACCGGGACCATCTGGGAGATTGCTGCACTGATTGTGCTGATCAAGCGTCCTGCAGTCGCGCCAAACTCTGAGCAGTCTGACACTAAGGACCTTCGCCTCTGGACTTTCGCTTCCTGTCGATGTCGGTCCATGGGGCTCACGGGAGAAGGGTGGATTGTTGGAGGAATGCGAGCGTGTGCACATTCTGTCGTAAAATTGTAACGCACTTGACAAGTGACTCTTCAAAAGATGTCAGTATACATCCGGCGATATGAAGTCCACTCAAAATCTTTCATCTTCGACCTCACAACTCTTCAGCCCGTACATAGATTGCTCCACAGTAGCTCTTTGTCCATGGCGGAGTGTGTTTGTAGACTTGTCTGGCACACTGATTTATTTCTCAACTCTCGCGAGATATTGACGGCGCGTGCGTTGATACGAGATGGGCTGCAAGGTGGCAGTCCATCATAGCCTGAAGCATGGATCATTTGCTCGACGTGTGCCTGGAGGCATGTCCTACTGAACACGGTATTAGTGACTGGATCAGGAACCGACTTCTGACTCACCTTTCCAGGTACCGTGCTGACAGTTGCACCACCCTTGTAGTATTGACCTGAGTTGATCGAATATGGATCGGGCTGGTCAATGACTCGATGTTCAGCATAGTCTACAATGATATTGAGCTGGCTGGAGCATAGCTGCACAAGAAGAATCGCTCGTGTTGTCATGGTGAAAGAAACCGAGAGAGGTGGAGTTCGGTCAGCTCAGGTCGGCATGGCTCAAAACGTACTTCATACGTACGAGATGTTGTAACGTGGTATATGCTTGTGACCGTGATCCTGGCTGTTAGACACGATTTGATGGCGGAACATCAACGGCGTAACAGGGTTGGATGACTTCATTGTTCTGGGCGTACACTGTTTGTGTCAGCAAGTGGAGCTCAAAGATATTCAAGGCGAGGAACTTATCTTAGGCATCGGGGGCCTGTGAAAACAGGAAGGGCCCTTCAGCAAATGATGCAATGCTACATTTGTGGGCTCACAGACGCATGTCGTTCCCATACCTCTCGCGGCGATGACGAGCGCTGTATTAACGGATCTGCCCACGAACGCTTCTAGTCCGCCACGCAGAGCGGTTCGAATAATTTCCTTGGCCTAGTGGTAGCACCTTGTCTTAAAGGGCAACATGTGCACAATGGATCACGACTTTAGATGCGCCTAGGGGGCAGAAATCTGGCGAGCTACCAATGGAGACGTCTCGCGCAGTTGTCAGAGGCAGAAGGGAACGCAACGCTTGGTCGATTGTGACGCAAAAAAACTTTGTCTTCAGGAGATGAGCAACAGTCACTTCATTTACTTGTCGCATGACCGTAGGGAGCTGGCGCTGTCGCTGGTCCTGCAAAAATGGGATGAACGAGATGCCTGCGATCTGCTGTTGCAAGACA